ATTCAGCTGACTGCAAATGTCGTAAAACGTTCGTATCCGCCAATGCCAGATTGAGGAGATCGGTTTGCCTTTCTCGCGCGCCGATTATGGACCTGTAAAGCCAGCCCACAATGAGTAGTTTCAGTTCGACTGGGAGTCCAGATAGGCTAGCCTTTTTTGTTGGATTCATTGGAAGTATTGTAAGCTGATAGGAGATGAGAGTGAGAAGACAAGGAGTAGTGATGGATTATTCGGTTTTGATAGACTGATTCCATTCTTATTTAACGTGGACTAGGTGCAAGGGTAGGGAAAGCCCCCAAGGGAAGCTCTTGAGCAGAGAGAACTGAGTTTGTCTCCGAGAGACATGTAATTTGCGACGCTAAAGGTGAATTCCTTTGACAAATGTTCCTTTTTTGTGTGGATGTTGTGATGGGACTACATAGTGCCCGAAATCCTCTGCAACTTGATGGATGGGAAGCTGAACGCAATTGAATATTCGCTAGCAAATGTGCGCCAGTTTTTCGGTGGCTTCAGGAGCTTTCTATCTCATAAAAGGGAAGTAACTCATTTAGCTACGCCGGCCCAGTTGATGACTCATAACTTGCCGACACTGGTCTAGTAGCACTTTGCTCTGTGGTCCAGTTACACAAGTGTTGTGCCGCTCAGTCTGGCATAAGTACTTTGCTTACCAGGTGCTCAGCCTAGAACTAAAATGGGACATGGTGACTGCTGGACATCTCTGATCAACATCAATCGCTCATGGACGGACTGAGTCACCCGGAGGAGCTCATGAGGTTCGGATTGCGTTTCAAGAGGTTTCGCGCTCTGAAAGGATCAAGCCAGCTCAAGTGGAACGCGTCTTCTGTTGAGACAAACCAATAATTAGAGCCTCTCCTCCTTTCGGCGCCTGCACCGCCGGCAGGGGCCGGTCTGATTCGATCTGCTCTGTGCTGCTCTGCGGCCTTTGTACTACCGGTCGGACGATACCCGGTCCGCCGGTCCGAGCAGTTGCTGCCGCCTGCCGCCAGTGTTTTTTTTTTCTCAGTTTTGAAACACGGCGGCCCTGTGAGAAATCTGTGTCAGAAACTGGGCCGCAGCCACCCACAAGCTGACCCGGCCGAATTTTTTAGTCAGGCCCTGTGACTGTGAGTGACCCTTTACTATCCCCCTTGGCCAGGAACCACCACAAACACACACAAGCAGGCGATGAGACTCCCAGCAAACAACCTCGCAGGATGGACTCGTCACACTCACATCTTCTCAAGAAACACCCCAAGGGCATTCACACCCTCGACCCAGCCAGCCCAACTACCCCATTTTAACAGCCACATCCCACCCATTTCAATTTCAAACCAAAACCACAGCCCAAAACCGCAGTCATTCTCATCTAACTCAAACTTCAACTCTCCAATCAACAAGAAGATCAAGTACCCCAGCTTGAAAAATCACAGGATCTTACTCGTCAAGAAATCTAATGATGACCGAGCTTCCAACGCACTCAATTCATTAATCTCGTCAGTTGATATTCATTTTATCATCCAAGATCACTCAATCTCCCGAAAAAAAAAAAAACACTCAAAGCCCCGAAAAGACAACCTATTCAACAAAGGGAATGAACGAAATAAACAAAAATTGACTTTTCTCATTTGAAGTGCACCCAATCTTAAAGGTATCTTGACCAACAACGCCCTCAAATTAAGACGATAGTAGAAGAGGATCTCCAGACACTCGAATCACGCAAAGATATCGACCTGGTGATTGCCCTCGGTGGAGATGGCACAGTTCTTCACATTTCTCATCTTTTCAAAAATACTGCCTGTCCCCCCATTCTGGGATTCAACTTGGGTACAATCGGATTTCTACTACCCTTCGGTAAGATTCGTAGCTAATTTGGAAATCAACAAACCATACGCTTATCGCTTCTCTATGATTCAATAGCTCCCAATGATTGGTTTGACGTCATCAATCAGGTTTTAACCGGAAAAATCGGAGTCGAAGAAAGAATGAGATTGGATTGCTTTACTGGACAAAACGGAAGTGGACTTCAAAGCGGAGACACAAATGCTATAGCTCAGCGGAATCTGTCAGCATCAAACTCTTTGGTGAGGCAAATTTGCTTTCGGTACAATTGAAATAGATATTCTAAATTAACTGGTGGGTCGGTCAACTGACAAGAATGCCAAAATATCTGGGTGGATGTCTTCAGGTTGACTTGAGTGCAATGAACGAAGTCAGCCTCCATCGCAACGATTCTCCTCATATGGTGGCAATCAACATTTCGATCGAACATCGGTTCCTGACGCAGGCTGTCGCCGACGGACTAATCATCGCCACCCCCACGGGTTCCACAGCTTATTCGTGCTCAGCGGGCGGACCAATTGTCTATCCAAGCATGGAAGCCATGCTGTTGACTCCAATCTGTCCACGTAGTCTCAGCTTCAGACCGCTCGTATTGCCCGCTGATCTCCATGTCCAACTAGCGGTAAGTTTTTTGTTTTGTTTTTTTCGTACTAGCTATCTCTTGCGGAAATTGCCTTCTGATTGGATTCTTCAACTTCAACTTCCCGTCATCACAGTTGGACCCCAAGTCCCGATCAACCGCCGAACTCAGAGTCGACGGCATCGCGATCAAGACTATCCAGCCCGGCGAATCAATCGAGATCCGGCGCTCAGAGCACCCCATTCACATCTTCTCACCTCCAAACTCGAATGCCTTCGTTCACGACCATTGGATCAATGATTTGAACATGATGTTAAACTTCAATCGTTCTTATCAATCCAAAGATTCTCGTTAAAAATGATTCCTCACAGCTCTGTTTCTCTTGCATCAAACCGTCTCACTCACTTTTCTCCCTCTTGTAGCTTTTCGCTCCCATCTTGAAAAAAAAAAAAAAAAAAAAAAAAAAAAAAAAAAACTTTACAGCTTTTCTGCTACTGGTCATGTCTATGGCCGAACTTGTTTTGACTGTCACATATGTGCAATCCCCTCATCTGTTGTACAGTCGACGTTGATCATGGCGCAGTAATAAAAAATCTCTCCTCCTTGAGCAGATAAGGTGTCTATACAAATGGACCATACAAATATTCATAGAGCCCAGCATACACTCGACTACATGTTGGGAAATTATCTGATCTTTTTGATTTCGTTTGGTGGTTATTCTGGGTTGCACTTGGCAAACCAGCCCGGACTTGGTTGAGTTCTCACGCAGTCTAGTTGAGGGAATAGTGGTAAATTGATCAAATTATGGTAACGATGAAGCCCATTAAGGCTTCCTTAGATGGCTGCTTGAAACATTGATGAATGAAGATTTGAAAGTTTTCCTGGTGCAATTAAAGGAATTGTAGAGATATTCATAAAGCTTGAGGCTGAAAAGAAAAAAAAGAATAGCTTGAAGTAGATATCTAACCAAAGTTCTAGAGCCTAATTGCTAAGACGAGTTCATGGAATAGAAAGAGATTTATGCCACGAGGGAATAATCTATCTTAAACTGCTGTCAATTACATTTTGATAGGTTTGCAATGATTTAAGAATTGACTTTGTATAGAATGTAATAGGTTCAGGTGATCTACCACGATTCAAATCATATCCTTTGTACCAATATGCCATTAAAAGAATCACAGTGGGAATTAGCCTAGCTTTATTGACCCTCTCCGGATCGGTTATGTCACTTGCTAAACAAAGTTGAGCTTGTCGAAACAAAATTTTGGTGCTTTCTTTTTCAGATGGTATTATAGGAAAGTCGTGTTGATTTTTAAATATGAGATCATTGATCCATGAAAGCAAAGCTGTGTGAGTCTTTCTTGTGACTTCTAAGTCTCTGTCTAAGCCTTGATAAACTGCCATGTTGTGAACCTGATTGACAATCTTGAAGATCGGTATAATTTTCCTTTTAAGATTTCTTCTAAAAAACCAACTGTTTGCATTGCTTTTGAGATAGTCTATCCTACTTGTTTTCGCGGCTTGTGAAACCCATGTGAATATGATTGGCGGCAAGATGAACGTATCAATCCCGGGTTCTCGATGGGCACATAACACCGGAAACTGTTTGATATTAGCGAGAATGGTTTGCTCGAGTTCCTCTGTTGCTGCGAGGTCTTGATTAGGGGACTTTTTTGCCCGTGTGAGAATAGAATACTCCCATAACCTGACGCCAGAGAAGATCTCGTGAGCTTCATTGATTACAAGGTTTTTGTCTTCAAAGTTGGAACTGGGGGGTTGGGATTGTTCCAAATTAGTTGTAGGTGGGATGCTTTTTTGTTTCTTGGGGTCTTGAGTTCGGTGATAGATATCAGCTAGTTCCGCCTCCCTCTGACGTTTTTTTACAGCGGAATCGACTGTCTTGGACTGGTGGTCATTTCGATCTACATTTATTACATTGATGTGTTAACAGCTTGTTCATGTCAACCAAAATATTGAGCTGAGTCCGTTGCTTTTATAAACTAACCTTCTTCCCTGCCTATTGCGCCGGTCACCCTAGAATTTGAGCTGGCTTCTGGCCGAGTGCGTGCTGTGTCGAGAGTGTCGGACACGGCGCTACTTATGGATAATTCCTCACTGTGTGGAGCCGAAGAGGATTGAGAGACTTCATGAGGTGATGGCAAACCATATTCAACAGGCGCAGTGTTTCGTAGGGTTGAAAATGTTTCTCTATCATCACTTGGAGGATGGATCATGTAATGACCCGTTGACCAAAAGGTGTCAGGAGGCCCTGGAAAAGACGCGTACGCGATTCTTAGTACTTCTTACTCATCAAAAACCGGCACTCGGTAGAGTCGATAAGGCTTGCTCACCGTGCTGAGCCAAGGAAGATAAATTTTCAGATGAAAACTCATCGGATAGTCTTTGCTGAGCTGGATTCCGTTTGTGGGATTCGAACTCCAAATTCACGATATCGTCCAGCTTCCCATATATTGTATCGTCGTTCGAGGGATGTGTCACTTGCAGGGAAGTTGATAACGCGACTCCAGGAGGATTTGTAAAACGTGCAATCACCAAGTTAAGGCAACATAGAGTTGGTGTTAGGACAAATATTGTGCGCAGTGACATAGCTGGACCTGCCTGGGAGCAGCTTGAGTGGTTCGAAGGGCGATTGTCGGTTGATCACCAGGTCCACAGTGCGGATGGAACAAGCTCCAAAAGCAGACATCAAAGTCAAACCACTACATGCAAATATCCAGGAACGTAAGATAGCGTTCTTCAGATTAACGGAGCAAACGTTTCAACTTCCGTCGATTGTATGTTATAACGTAGCAAATTCCAGTGGGTTCTCCTGGGCTGTGTATCTCGAATTTTCCTTGCTGTTCCTTGAGTTAATATGTACTCCGAAACATCACTTAAAACTGCTCGCATGATGTCCGGCCCACCACAGTATAACAGGCACCATGAATAGGCACCATGGGGCCGATTCCGCAGTTTGGAAGGTATGTATTGGGAGCCATTGGGAGGCTCGCTCTTGATGCATTCATGTGTGTATGGAGAACTTGTGTTGGACCTCGGCTGCCTCAGATCCAATACTCATTCTCTAACAAGCCGTACTGTTAGATGTCAAGATGGTCCAGGTGGCCCATGACCCACTCTTTCTTTCTACTTTGACTCCGAGCCTCACATTTACGGCAGTGTGATAGAAAAGTCGATGCAGGTGCTCCATTAGCTCTTCTTGTGATACTCATGGATGCGGCATTTTATTTTCAAATCGCACTGTGCTTCTTGCACTTGGTTGATGCAATTCCTACGGGGATTTCTACAGCCGAACTGACAAGGAATCCATCTGATCTCACTGGCGAAAACGAAATATTCAAAGACCTTGAAGATCTCAATAGTTTGGAACCAATATCCTCAAGGCCAAAGACAATTTCAGAGGAATACCCTGGTCGCTTTCCTGTGTTTTACTTCCCTCGGCATGGTGAGGTACTATTAAATCAATTCCCGCAATTGATACCGAGGCTTACTGGTGGCTGAAGCTTTCATAACAATTCTTACCCCGTGCTCTTGGATATTCAGCAGAGTTGAAGGACAGCTTTCTTGATAGAGCAAATCTCGATTTAGCAGTTATCTCAGGGCCCAGCGTTAGTAACACACATGTGGGACAAGGTCAGCTTTAAACACAGTCGAATTAAAATTCTTCAATGGTTACTGACACCAAGCCGCTTTCGACACATAATCACACCTACATAACATCCAGAAAAAAATGAAAAGCGGGTGAAGTGCCTTGGATCCCTCCCGACAACACACCCGAGAGAGCGTGAAATACTTGGATTGGACCGTCAAACACATCCTAGTAAGAAAACCCGCCAACTCCGCCGCAGGATTCGCAAAAAGCCCAACATTGGAGAGGAAGAAAAAGGCTCAATCAACTTAACAGGTTTGAATGACTTTGGTCTCAAAAATTGGTGGAAAGTTCTCTTCAGACGCACAGTTAGGTTTCCTCCTCGGAATCCAGAAAGCACAGAGCAGATTAAGAAGGACATTTACAAGCGTTTCGAGTTAGCCAAAGAGTTATCGAATACTGGTTATACCCTGTTGCAAAGTGAAATACCGGGAGATCTACCAATATCAATCAAATGGAGGCCCACTGAGATAGATGCCGAAGGAAGGAACGAGGTCTTGATCAGACTTACGCAAAGAAGCTTAAGCAGAGGGGGCCTTCTTTGGTTAGGAACTCTTGCACAGAGAGTTGATCCGATCTTCCAGACTCTAGATCTGTTTCACAACGCGCTTGTTTCTACTGGACTGGATAGAAGTATTACTGGGTTCGCGGAAAATTTCGGCCAGCCACTACTTGAATGGTTTCGGGATCTCATATTTGAACAGACTGGAAGAGATCAAGTGCCTCTGATTGGATTAGCAAGACTCAAACTTCCTAGGGACGAATCTAAAGCATTGCTCAGTGACGCTCAAATTTATCTCTCAAAGATGTTAAGTGAGGAAGGGATCAATCTACATAAGTCAGGCATAGTTTCAGTGGCATTGATGGGGTATTGGTGTCAAGAAAATGTTTCAAAGCAAGTTCATATGATCAAGGTGGATGTATTTTGGAAAGAAATTGCTGTAGCATTGAGAAAAATTCCAAAAACTAACTCAGTGGAAAAACTGATATCAAGCAAGTAGTATCTTCTGTTATAGATTTCCTTCCAATCAACTTGTGTTCTCTGATAATATTTTAAGTGTGTAATTGATCCATCAGAAAACTCTGTTTTAGTTTTTAGAAAAGTTTCAAAACATAAATACATAATGCAGTGATCACCAAAACCAAACATTACAATTGCAGTATTACATCAATAATTTCAATAAAGGTCATGAAAATTATTATTTTATTTGGACATTTTTCTTGGGAATTGTTATTGGGAGAGGTCTATGATTGACATGTCACATTAAGATGTGCAGCTCTTGCCCCTTGTTCAAGGCAATCAAACAGCCAAGGAAATCATTTCAGATCTGCATGAGAAATAAAATCTAGCAACACATCTTCTGAAGAACCTTTGGCATGTCTAAGAGCTTTCTCAGCCACTTTATTAGATACTCTGAGCTGCACACACTACACCAGTAACTTTGATTAATTTGAATCTTGTTATTCCAGAGTGTTTGGATGAATGGTTGAAGAAAATTTCTAAACAACACTTTCAATGAATTTCACATCTGACTTTATGAGTGGGGCTGGCACACCCTCCTGACCAGGACCTGAGTTGCCCCTCCAGGCTCAGCAATGATGAGTTCATCTAGACAGCCAACAATCTCAAATTGGGGGTCATCCACCTGAGAGGATTATGAAATATTTGAAGTTTCTAATAAGCTACTACCCAATGCAATGGTGGGCCAACAAGGTACAATTGTTTCAACCTTTTTTGCATAAAATATTGGCCTATTTTGTTTTCTTTGTTTATTATCTTATCAAAGGTTATTAAGTTTTGATACTTGATGATGCTTTACCCACCCATACAGGCTGTAACAACAAAATACAGCATGTATCAGCTGTTATTGAGGGCTTTTATTGACCCCTGAAAGTGATTTTTATTGGGAAAAAGGCAAGATTTTGATAACCATAACATCAAAAAGTAAAGAATTTTTTGTCACTTTACAACATGTTATGGTATTGGGCCGGCCCACTGTTGAACATCAATGTAAAAAAATTATTGAATATGTACACACATCTGACAGAATTTTGGTTCACAATATGCAGTAAAATTATGCAATATGCCAAAAAATATGGCCAATTTGTGCTTTAAACTGGGGGTTGGAAAAACAACTCCCAAATATTTTCTGACAACTCCCATTTTGGCTGAGAGGCTGTTGACGGTATTTGTTTTTGCAATCCTTCCTGTGGGATTGAGAGTCAACCTCCCAATTCTATTTTTTTTTTTTGGGGGGGGGGGGGGGGGAGAGTCAGTTCCCCAAACCCTCCTTGGCAAGTGAAGGCTTTGTAGTCACCTCCCTTTTGCTGTCCAGGAGGTATTCCCTCTGTTAATTGAGACTGTAAAGTCTTGATGACCAGAAGGAATCCCTTCTGGTCATTGAGATTGTACAGTCATAATGACTGGAAGGAATCCCTTCTGGCCATTTAGATTGTGAAGTCCCAACAAACAGAAGAGATTCCATCCATCCATCAAGACTTTACAGTCTTGATGACCAAAAGGGATTCCTTCCGGCCATCAAGACTTTACGGTCTCCATGATCAAAAGGGATTCCTTCTGGCCATCAATACTTCACAGTCTTGATGACCATAAGGAATTCATTCTGGTCATCAAGATTTTACACTCTCCATGAGCAGAAGGGATTCCTTCTGGCCATCAAGACTTTGCAGTCTCCATGATCAGAAGGGATTCCTTCCTGCCATCAATACTTTACAGTCTCAATGAGCAGAAGGGATTCCTTACAGCCATCAATACTTCACAGTCTCAATGGCTGAAAGGGTCTCACTGGCTGTAAGGGATTCCTTCTGGTCACCAACTGTACAATCTTGATGACCAGAAGGGATTCCTTCTGGTCAAAAAGACTGTACAGTCTTGATGACCAGAGGGAATCCCTCCTGGCCAGTGGGAGGGAGGCAACTCCCAAACCTCCCACTTGCCAAGGAGGGTTTGGGGCACCAACTCCCCCCCCCCCCAAAAAAAAAAAAAAAAAATTGGGGAAGGTGACTTCTCCCGCCGGGGGAATAGAGAAAAAAAAAGACCCAAAAAACACCCCTTTAAACAAGTAAGGGTTAAAATATAGAGCGATTGAAGTTGTTTTTCTCAGCCCCCCTTAAACACTGAATGGGTATGTAGTGGGAAGAAAATGATTATTCTAGAAAAGCATTTGAAATTATTTGTATACTCAGTA